CCAAGTGCCCCGACTTCGCCACCACGGGCCGGTGGGAGGTGGTGACCGAGAGCAAGGGGAAGCAGGAGGCGGCCGTCTTCGACGCCGTGCTGGTGTGCACTGGGCACCATACTGATGCGCATCTCCCGCTGAGCACCTTCCCAGGTACTGCCCTACGCTCCATGCCCCGGCATCAGGAAAGACCCCAGAAAGCTCAGCCGTATCGGTCCCTATTCTCCCTGCTGCTCTTCCCCCTGGCCCCAGCATTTCCCTGCCTTGCTTCAACTCCAGGAGTGCTCACATGCTCCCCAGGGAGGGCCTGGTGGGGCCAAGGAGTGTCCCTACTTCAATTGTTGGGGAGGTGACCCTCCAGCCCAGCACCAGGAAGCCAAGCATTCCTCCTCCCTGCCCACAGGAATCGAGAAGTTCAAGGGCTGCTACCTCCACAGCCGAGACTACAAGGACGCTAAAGATTTCACAGACAAGAGGGTCGTTGTCATCGGGATCGGGAATTCAGGGTCGGACCTGGCCGTGGAGATCAGCCAAGCAGCCAAGCAGGTGAGCAGCAGGAGTGAGGTCCCAGTGGGGACGGCAGCCCCCTGTGGGATACTGCTGGCTCCCTGAGGACACCAGGACCCAGGTGCTGGCACAGCCACTGTTCTATCCCAGCACTCACTATGTTTGGCAGTGCCAGCACTCACCATTCCCAGCCGCTGGGCAGTGGTGGCAGTCGAGACTTGACTCAGTATTGATACCCCAATTTCCATCCCTGAGCCTGGGGCTGGGGCTGCCCCTGTGGCTCTTCTCTACTTCTCCCTGCTAAGTGCCCACCGCCACCTCTCTCTGACCTCTGGGCCTTCGCCCAGGGCTTGGGCAGCACAAAGAGAAGCGATTCCGGGGCAAGGACATGTACCTCCTAGGGCACCCCCCAGGACCCTCACAGCCTTCAGGAGGCGATGCTTACTTCCTTGACAGGTCTTTCTCAGCACCCGTCGGGGCGCGTGGATCTTCAACCGCGTTGCAGATCAGGGCTATCCCGTCGACATCATCTTAACCACCCGCATGAATACGTTCTTGAATAATCTGCTGAGCCCATCCATGGTGAGCAACTTCATGGAGAAAAAGATGAACGCCAGATTTGACCACTCGCTCTACGGCCTGAAGCCAAAGCACAGGTGCCAGCAAACACTCCCCCTTCCCAGGAGGGATCCTCCACCTCCCACCATGTCCAGCCCCACTCAGCCATTTCCATGCTCCCTGTGCCCAGCCTGGGACCAAGGCACCAGCCCTGGAAACCCAGTTAATAGCTGTGTTGTGCCCAGGCAATGTTCAAGGGACCCACCACTGCCCCTTCCAGGGACCCTTGGTGGCACCAGTGCAGTGACAGCTGCAGAGCGTCCCTGGGCTACCAGCCGGGTGATGAGCATCCCTGGGGACGAGCATCACCAGAGCAGGGAGCAGTGGCTAGAGCAGGACACGGAGCAGAGACACCCCACCCCAGCACCCTGATGGCTCCTTGTACCTTCCAGGATCCTTGACCAGCACCCGACCATCAACGATGACCTGCCCAACCGCATCATTTCGGGCAGGGTGCTGGTGAAACCAAACATCCAGGAGTTCACAGAGACATCTGCAGTCTTTGAGGATGGCACCAAGGAAGACATTGATGCCGTGGTCTTCGCCACAGGATACAGCTTCTCCTTCCCCTTCCTTGAGGGCTGCGTGAAGGTGGTGGAGAACCAGATCCCCCTCTACAAATTCATGTTCCCTGCCGACCTGGAAAAGCCGACACTGGCTTTCATCGGCCTCATCCAGCCCCTGGGTGCCATCATGCCCATCTCCGAGCTCCAGTGTCGCTGGGCCACCCGCGTCTTCCCGTGGGGGCGCCAGCCAAAGCCTGCACCCCTGGGGCCAGGGCAAACGGTGCCCAGTCATGTCTGGGAGGCAGCAGCCAGCTGTGCCATCCTGGCCGCAGGTGATGGCATGGCCACCTCGTAGCCATCATGGTGAGCCAGGCTTTTGCTTGAGCAGAACGGGGGCACCTGTACCCTGAGCCCCACAGGCTGCTGCTTCCCATCCCAAGGAGCGTGGACATGACTCAGGTGCCAGACTGCCCACCACGGTGGTGCCGGCAGGGGCACCACACCCAGGCAAGGGCAGCACCGCAGCAGCCACTGTTGCCAGTGGGGTACAGCACCCCCATGCTGTGCCTCATCCTCCCTAGGGCTGAACAAGCTGCCCCCACGGCACGACATGGAGGCTGACATCGAGAAGAAGAAAGAAGCGATGGCAAAGCGGTAAGATGCCCCTGGGAAAAGGGAGGGGGCCAGCTTGGGTACAGCTGCTCATGGACACTCATCCTGTCCTCTGGCTGCAACCTGGCACGTCTGGCCGTGCCAACAGATGGCAAGGATGAGCTCGGCCCCACTACCCCGACCCTGCTGATCCTTCCCGATGGCTATCCATCCAGTACCGCCTTGCTGGCATGCAGGGCATCTGCCAGCTCTGCTGCCAGCAGCTGTTTGCCCTCCCGGCCCACAGGTACGTGAAGAGCCAGCGGCACACCATCCAAGTGGATTACATCCCCTACATGGATGAGCTCGCCTGCCAGGTTGGGGTCAAGCCCAACCTGCTCACCCTCTTCCTCACCGACCCCAAGTTGGCGCTGGAGGTGGCCTTTGGGCCCTGCACGCCATACCAGTACCGCCTGCAGGGCCCGGGCGAGTGGTCAGGGGCCAGGGAGGCCATCCTCACCCAGCGGCAGCGCGTCATCAAGCCCCTGCAGACGCGGCATGTGGAGGAGCAAGCAATGACCCCTGCCGTGCCCCTCCTCTTCAAGCTGGTCGGGGCCATGGCTGTCCTCGCCGTCATTTTTGCTTACTTGTAGATAACCTACAAGTGCGGGAAGGGAGGTTTTGTGATGTGCCAGGGGGGCTGGCCTGCCACCCCCCGCCCTGAGGCAGCCTGTGCATCCCAGTGCTGTCAGGAGCCCTCCTCCTGCCTGGCACAGCCCTGCTGCAGCCACATCACAAGCTCAGGGTGCACAGAGCCTTCCCAGTTGCTGAAATAATGCCTCGGCGCCTGCTCTGCATCTCTTCCTGGGCACCCATTGCTGCAGATGGACAAGGAAACCTGCTCACATGCAGGATAAAATCCAGTCTCCCTGGGCAGCGCTTTGGACCCAGGGACGTACCGGCTTTCCTGTCGCCTATAACCCGTCTGAGCCACCACCGGCACGCTCACAAGAGAGCTAAGTCTGAAAAGGCACAGCAGATTCCTAACTGGATAAACGCATGTTAAACAGAGCCAGGTGTCTGTCTCATCACTGACACCGCCACGTTCCGCTGCGTGCCAAGGGGATGGGCACAGGTTTGATGTCGGCCTCGTGCCAGCAGCGCAGCCCCAGCTCCGCGGGAGCACAGGCTGCATGCACACGCACGCACGTGTGTATCCACAGCAAAACAGCCTCGCCCAGGGCGTGTGCCACCGGAGCGGGCCGCGGG